GAAATTCAATCAATGTGATACATCACATTAACAAATTGAGAAACAAAAATTATGATTATCTCAATAGATGCAGAGAAAGCATTTGACAAAATACAACATCCTTTCATGATGAAAACTCTAAGGAAATTAGGGTTAGAAGGAACATTCCTCAACACAATTAAGGCAACTTATGACAAACCCATGGCCATCCTTATATTGAATGTGGAAAATTGGAGGCATTTCCATTGAAAACTGGCACCAGACAGGGATGCCCACTCTCACCATTACTATTCAATATAGTCCTAGAAGTTTTAGCCAGAGCCATCAGGCAAGAAAAAAGAAATTAAAGGGATACAAATGGGTAATGAGGAAGTCAAACTATCCCTATTTGCAGATGATATGATCCTATATAAAGGGGATCCAAAAAATTCCTCTGAGAGACTATTGGAACTCATAGAAGAGTTTGGTAAAGTAGCAGGATACAAAGTCAATGCTCAGAAATCAACAGCCTTTGTATATACAGACAATGCCACGGCAGAGGAAGAACTCCTAAGATCAATCCCATTCACAATAGCCACAAAAACAATCAGGTACCTTGGGATAAATTTAACCAAGGATGTCAAAGACTTTTATGATGAAAATTACAAAACATTAAAGAAGGCCGGTGCCGAGGCTCAATAGGCTAGTCCTCCACCTAGCGGCATGGCACATTGGGTTCTAGTCCCAGTCAGGGCACCGGATTCTGTCCCGGTTGCCCCTCTTCCAGGCCAGCTCTCTGCTATGGCCTGGAAGTGCAGTGGAGGATGGCCCAAGTGCTTGGGCCCTGCACCTCATGGGAGACCAGGAGAAGCACCTGGCTCTTGCCTTCGGATCGGCGTGGTGTGCCGGCCTCAGTGCGCCGGCCACGGCAGCCATTGGAGGGTGAACCAACAGCAAAGGAAGACCTTTCTCTCTGTCTCTCTCTCTCTCTCACTGTCCACTCTGCCTGTAAAACAAACAAACAAACAAAACAAAACAAAAAAAAAACATTAAAGAAAGAAATAGAAGACACAAAAAAATGGAAAAACCTGCCTTGTTCATGAATTGAAAGAATCAATATCATCAAAATGTCCATTCTCCCGAAAGCAATTTACAGGTTAAATGCAATACCAATCAAAATACTTCACAGACCTAGAAAATTCTTCACAGACCTAGAAAAAATGATACTAAAATTCATATGGAGGCATAGGAGACCACAAATAGCTAAAGCAATCCTTTACAATAAAAACAAAGCTGAAGGCATCAGAATTCCAGACTTTAAGACATACTACAGGGCAGTTATAATCAAAACAGTCTGGTATTGGTACAAAAACAGATGGATAGACCAATGGAACAGAATAGAAACATCAGAAATCAATCCAAACATCTATAACCAACTCATATTCGACAAAGGAGCTAAAACCAACCCCTGGAACAGAGACATCCTCTTCTAAAAATGGTGGTGGGATAGGTTTAAGACGAAGATTATAGAGATAAAATTCCTTTTTTACCACATGCTATCAAGTGCATGCACTATCAATATGACTCATTTTTCAGAAATGGGCCTTGTTCACCTGGTTTGAGGTACTCTTTGTCAAGTTTTTCCACTGTAAAGTGGCTCTTTTTTTTCTCTCAATTTCTGTAGTGCACTTTTAGTGACAAAGTCACTGGCACAGCTCACAGTGGGAAATTATTCTTTATCTCCTTAAGGGCTGAGTATCTATTCTACGTAAATTGTTTGAAATATTCCTATATGCATATTTGTCAATTCTCACTTATAATTTACTTATTCAATCATGCATTTTTATCAGTATGGACTCAAAGATATTTATTTTTTTACTTTGATAATAATCTAATATTGCCTTATTTTGTTTCTTAACTTGTTCTAGCTTTGACTACTGGCAGCCTTTATCCCTTTGACATACCCTCACCATTGTGTGTGGGATGTGGGATGAGATTTCTTGCTTTCTGGTATTATTAGATGTTCTTGTACATCTTGTGCATTTCCTACCTCAGTCCTGGAATTGAGAAGTTCTTTAAGAGCTCTGGCTCTTTTACTAGAGAATGCTAATAAAAACAAACAGCAGGGTGGTAGGTTTGTTTATTGCTAGTAAGTATCATTGCTTCTAATTCCTCATAGCTGTCAGAGCAGGAAAATACACATGCGTGTATAATTACTAACACACATACAAATATCTAGAAATATTTTTGTATAAAACAATCTGCATTTATAGTAAGCTAGACACGAGTTCCTAGTGATGTCTTTTTCTCTAATACGTTACACATGGATTATTCTAGACTGCTCTTCTTGTTTATGTGTAAAGTACTACTCCAAGAATGAGAAACCTGGCTCACGCCAGTTATCATTTATTTATTTTATTATTTAATTTCAGAACACATGTATAGCAGCTTCAGAATTGTTGACCTATATGGTCTATGAGAAACAACTTTGTTGAATAAAGTACATTCCAGTGCTACTTAGATTGGGACCTTATTATCTACTCTCTTCAATGAGTTTCATATGTTCTAGTACATTAAATTATTTTGTAGTGTTTTACTTCCATCCTGGGATTCCCCTAGACTTCTTCTTCTTTTTTTGACAGGCAGAGTGGACAGTGAGAGACAGACAGAGAGAAAGGTCTTCCTTTGCCGTTGGTTCACCCTCCAATGGCCGCCGCGGCCAGTGCGCTGTGGCCGGCACACCGCACTGATCTGAAGGCAGGAGCCAGGTACTTATCCTGGTCTCCCATGTGGTGCAGGGCCCAAGTACTTGGGCCATCCTCCACTGCACTCCCTGGCCACAGCAGAGAGCTGGCCTGGAAGAGGGGCAACCGGGACAGAATCTGGCTCCCCGACCAGGACTAGAACCCAGTGTGCCGGCGCCGCAGACAGAGGATTAGCCTATTGAGCCATGGTGCCAGCCCCCCTAGACTTCTAATTGATCCTTTTCACTTGTATCCCATGAAGTTTGTGCTATGGTATGAGGTTCAATGAGTTTAACAAATTCATAACAAATTTGCTTATCAAAATGCTTTGTCTTATATTTACTGTAACAATATAAGATATTCCATGGGGCTGATGTTGTGGCATACTGGGTTAAGCCACTGTCTTTGGTGCTGGCCTCCCATATGGGCATTGGTTCACATCCTAGCCACTCCACTTCTGTTTCCGCTCCCTGCTGATGCACCTGGGAAAGCAACAAGTACCTGGGTACCTGCAACCCACATAGGAGACCAGAGAAAGCCTCTGGCTCCTGGCTTTGGCTTGGCCAAGCCCTTGGCTGTTACCACCATCTGGGGAGTGAACAAGTGTATGGGAAATCTCTCTATCTTTCTCTCCCTTTCTCCCTGTGATTCTGAATTTCAAATGAATAAATAAATCTTTTTAAAAAGATATTCTCTGTGATGCAGTATTCAACACTCTGCTACTAAACTCCTGAAAAACAATGCCTTTTTGAAACTATGGATTAGTTTAGTTAGTCTGAACATCTCCAGAATGTTAAAAATGTTCAAATTTAAAAGATTACAGATGTTTCCCTCATGCAGGAGTTGCGTTAAGCAAAACGGACATTTAGTGTTTCATAGTATCGTGTTTCCTAGAAAACAAAGGCTGTGGGTTTTGTTTTTATCTCAGTATTTGAACAAAATATCTAGCTGATAGAAAAGGTCACCAAAGGCATAAAATAGCAAATGGACTTTAACTGATAGGTGATATTTGTTCAATATCTGTAATTTTGAAAATGTACTAGAAAAGTATTTCTTTATTCATGGCTCCATGAAGTTATACCTTTGTAATTGTTACTGATTTTGATTATATTGAATCCATGTTTCTTCTCTCCTTCTTATCTACTCTTTACATACTCATATTTTTTCCTAAATTTCTCCTATTCAAATATTTCCTTAGTGAGTTTCTGTTTTGTGCAAGAAAATGCATAAATGTTTAACATTTATCTCTGCCTACAGGATGCTTCCTATTATTATTGAGGCAGAAAGATAAGAAATGACATTTGTTATACAGTAATTGTTACATAGGTACAAATGTACATAGAGGAATAGGGGAGTGACTCTGGAGGATCAGGGAAGGGTTCCGCTGCAGACACCTTACTCTTGGAAGAGGAGAGATAAGGAAGTACAATGTGAAGCATCTTCTCAGATTACAACACTACTGAGGAGCTCCAGTTTAATATAACTGGAGAGGCTGAGACAGGAAGCAGATGGTCAAGTGCTAGGTCAGGCAAACAGGGATCCTGAAGTTTAGATTTCATTCTGGGACTAATGAAATAGGCACTGAAGGATTAGAAATAATGCAATGGTTACATCATGCTACTTCTTTAAAAGTTCTTGCTGGTGGGAAGAAATAAAGAGAGTTTGAAAATTGGACCTAGAAAATGTCATAGAACGCTATTACTACAGATAGGAGAAGAGATGATGAGAGTCTTCTCTTAGTCAACGATAAAAAGTAAAAGAACAGCAAGGAAGTATAGGAGAAATATTTTAACAAAAGTAAGGGTGTGAGAAGAAAGAGGCCATTAAGTAGAAATGAATGGTCAAGTTCAGGATGTTCTCCAAATTCTACTCATGTTTATTCTCAATAAAGGAAATTTTAAACCTCAATGGCCAAGAGGCACCTTTTGTACAATTTTATGCTGTATATTTCATAATTTAATACTGATACTATTAGATGTGCTTGCACATCTTGTGTATTTCTTACCTCAGTCCTGGAATTGAGAAGTATCAACATTTCCATAAAATATTAATTCAGGAGAAACATAGTTTCAGTAGTTCTTATTATGACTCTAAATAGAAAAATGTAATGGAAATGAGCTCAGAGTTTCGTGGTTTATGTCTATAATATGAAAATGAACTTAAATTTAGAGGTTTCCTCTGATGTGGAGAAATTCTTCTCATGGTTTTCGAATGTGCAGTCCATGCAGAGTGAAGTACCTAGACTGATGTTAATGTGATCGATCTGTATTTAATCTAATATAATTTATTCTTTGGCAGGATGAATCCTTAAAGCAACTGCAGGTAGTTCATCAACCATGGCTCTTGCCAAGTGACACAGAGAGTGAAGGGCTGGAGGCAGAACCTGAAAAACGTGAGTAGATACTGTAATTTGTAGACAGACTGCTTGTAATCAAACTTCCACAGTAACAGTACTCACCCTTCATAGCATCAAGCAACTTTTGCCAAAAGAAAAAGACTTCAATAGGGATAACATGTAGAGATAAGCTAATTCAGTGATTAATGGTGGCATAGAGACCCATTAACCAACTCTGAAATGAACGAACCGTTCTTAAACAATATAGAATTCCTACTTGGGATCTTCTATATATACTGTAGAACTATGTCAGGGATGACTTGTGGTTAATTAAAAATTTCAAAGTGTGCCTGGACAAACTGAATATTACGTATGAAATTATCCTTATTGAATACATTTATGAATACAGTTTTAAATGAACAAATTTATGTGTAGAGAAACTATTTTATTAATAAAACAAATAGAACTTGAGACAAATAGACTATATAGCTCTTGATTTAAGTCACTGGATGATCACTATAACAAAGAACAGATCACTATAATATGGCGTGACTCAGTGCAAACTCTCCAAGGATTTGACATTGTCAGACATATGGGGTCAGCAAAGCAGTTGAGAGGTTAGTGTCTGGATTATATAGAAATGGAATTGCCTTTTAAAATATTAACATGTCAAAATTACTTTGTTTTACCAATATGAGCCTACAGAGAGAAATAAAAACTGTATATCATAACATAGCCCTCATCATAACTGGTATGAAGTGATTAATTAATAATTATTCATCAGCCCTAAGCATCAAAGATACCTAATATGTATACAACAATCATGACTCTGCACCCTGAGGGATTCAGGAGCTTATCCCTCCAGGTTCAAAGGCATTTTAGAATGCCCTCATCCCACTTTCTTAGCTGTAGGCTTATATGGCCAGAGTACAGTCAAGAAACAGGCTTAAGGGCCAGAGTGCTCAGGTTGAAGGTGGAGGCTTGGAGCCTACCTGCTACTCAGCTGGCATATTCAGAAATACAGCAACAAAATGTAGTAACATTTTCACAGATTCTATTGGAGGAAAACAGCAGCTTCCATATTAAACATCTGGTGAAGTCTCAGAAAATAGAATGCACTTTAAGCAAATGCTGAATCAAAGAGAATATTTTGAATATTTTTAATGCAGGAAATCCTAAAAAAATGACATAGGCATTCCAAAATCTGGAAGGATCAATGGTGGCCTACAACTTTTATGAAAAAATGCAAATGCAACTTCCTTTCACCTCCTCAACTTTTCTACATATTTAAATATACAAAAACTTTCATTCTAGAGCTTGCAATTTATCATTTAGTACTTTTGAGACCTTCATAAATTCTTAAAAAATTTTTTCAAAGACTATATTCTCTAAAAGTGATCTACTCATATGTCTTTCTACTAGTTTTATGCTCTTATATTCAGCACGTAGATGCCTCAGTTGGGTATAACTAGGTACAAACTTCCTCATATAAAGCTCAGTTAATTAGATGAGAATGTTATATCTTACAATAAATTAAAACAAAAAACATTAAAATAGGGTATTCCATCGAATACCAAATTCTGACTTACTATATTTCCTTCAAATTTTTTTATCCCTAATCAATAACAAGACTAGAAAACACACCCTAACAATGTAAATGTGACTAAAATACTCAGAATGTTCTTCAGCCCTTGTCATTAAACACACACTGCCTTTCTGCAAATATTTTCCTAAGATTTTACAATTTTCTTCTGTTCTACTAGGGTACAAATTATTGGATAGAAGCCCATCTGTTCTATTCATTTCATAGAAACACATAATAAATTCTCATAAATATTGGAAGAATTAATAAATGAACAAGTAAATGAAGGAGGGAATAAATGAATAGATTTCTTTGGTACTTCTAGAATTATTTGTTGAATAGTTACAAATTTAAAGCAAATAATAACTGTGACTATGAATAACTTTATAAAATTATTTACAGTTTTATTAACATTTTAATATTGTATTCGTGTTTTAGCAATTGACTTTGCTCATTGGTCTATCAATCACTCTACAGAAGACCATTCCTGAACTCTTCTGACCATAGACATAGAACCAAAAATATTTGATCCCAGCAATGTTGTACTGGGAGGTGATCCTTGACAATGGTAAATTGTTTGAAATAAAATCATGGTTTAGAATAATTAGGTGGTAATAGGAGCCATCTGGAGATGGAATGTTAGCTAGCATTGTAGCAGACTCACAGCACATAGACACAAATATTTCAAGAGTGGCTTCCATTATCCAGGTGCTGGGACATGTATAAATGGAGCCACTGAAGCACTGGCATATCCAGTAGTACTTGCACTCAGGGCATGTGCTTTGTGGAACAGCTGGCAAGACACGTGTACATCATCTACTTCCCTTTCTCATTGAAAGGAAATAGATGACATAAATCTATGTGGACCCAGCATCTGATTCAGAGTGTACGGGCTCATATAATAGAAATTTATGAGTGAGGCAGACAACAAGTTCATCATTCCAACAAGAACACCTGTTTCTTGACTCAGCTTTCTATAAATTATGCCTAGGTAAGATTCTGGAATTCTCTGATTTCTCCTGAGACAAAAACCATCCCTGCATAAAGTTCCCAAATAATGTGAGGATCTTTGCAATGGCATATATTTCTTACTGTATCATTTAAAAATAAAGCTTGGCCCAAATAAATTTTATAAATGAGCACTTTTTAAAAAAAGATACCTTGAAAAATAAAATGGGAACCTTTGTAAAATTTCCTTATAAACAAAGTAAGAAAAAAACCTTGATTAATTAGTATTTTTCCTTTATTCTGCTTTCATTAGAAAATCAGAAATCGTAAGAATGAAAAAAAAGTCACAGGTTTTTCTTAATTGATAGCATTATGGTCAAAATACATTAAATAAATCAAACTACAATTATTGAATCTACTGGAGTGCTTGTTTCATGGTCGTGCTCTACAATTCTATTTCACACCTACTGAATCAGTTTCTGTGCCTGAGATTCTTTTGAATTCTGCATTTTTAATAACTCCGCAGTGATTTTTCTTATTGTGAAGGTTTTAACTATTGGTAGGAAAATTCAGTGTAACAGGGTTCTGATTGTAGAATTGGCCCATAGTGTCTTTAGACTTTGGACCATCTTACTCTAGGCCTCTTTCTCCATCTATAAATTAAGTTTGCTCATAAAATGTGAGGTTGGACAAGAAGGAAGGTTGAAACTTTTTTTTAAAATTTTATTTATTTATTTGACAATTATAGAGAGAGAAGAGACAGAAAGAAAGGTCTCCCATCCACTGGTTTACTCCCCAAAATGGCTGCAGCAGCCAGAGCTGAGGCGATATGAAGCCAGGAGCCAGGAGATTCTTCTGGGTCTCCCACACAGGTGCAGGGGCTCAAGCAGTTGGGCCACTTTCCACTGCTTTCCAGGGCCATAAACAGAGAGCTTCATCAGAAGAGGACCAGCAGTGAGTGAGCCAGTGCCCATTTGGGATGCAGGCACTACAGGCAGAGGCTTATGTCACAGTGCTGTTCCCAAGGAACATTGAAATGTGAAGGAATAAATGTAGAGGAAAAATGACAGGTGTTCCAGACTGCAGGTTCAGAAATTACAAAGTCAAAAAATCATGAAACAGTAGAGTCCTTTCACCCAGTAACTTCTGAAAATACTTAAGATTCATAAAAATATAAGTAACCAAGCTAAAAACAAACAAAAACAACCCAACAAAACAACACAGGTTGTTCTCCCCACACACAAACAACAACAATAACAACAACAAAACAAGAAAGAGCCAGAGTGATGTGCACAAGCTCATGTTGTCATGACATTTTGAGACTTCAGACGTGGGTTTCCTGGCTGAACTCTGGGGCCTATCTATGATAGGTGATTTGGCAGTGAGCATTGTTAAAGCAGACAGTCTAATGTGGTGGCACTGAATAAAGCTTGACCCAGAGATGAATTGGATGAGAAATGAAAAGGAAAACAAAATACCTGAATTCTCTTTCTGTAGAAAAAGCCCAGATTTTTGTTGTCTTAGAGTTTTGAGTGAAAAATGTGAAGTTATCAATAACAAAGCCAACTCCTTTGTCCATACTTTGGTTGTTGTGTTTTGCTGGGAACTCCAAATTGTCATAATAGTTGGTCAACCTCATTAAATTCATTGGGTCTGGACATATATAAATGCATGTGCTGAGGTAATTACAAATCTCTGTTTTAAAGTTCAACTCCTGATGATGATGAGCTCTCAATCAAAATTTATTTATTTATTTATTTATTTGACAGGCAGAGTGGACAGTGAGAGAGAGACAGAGAGAAAGGTCTTCCTTTTTGCCATTGGTTCACCCTCCAATGGCCGCTGCGGCCAGCGCATCGCTCTGATCCAAAGCCAGGAGCCAGGTGCTTCTCCTGGTCTCCCATGTGGGTGCAGGGCCCAAGGACTTGGGACATCCTCCACAGCACTCCCAGGCCACAGCAGAGAGCTGGCCTGGAAAAGGGGCAACCGGGACAGAATCTGGCGCCCCGACCGGGACTAGAACCCGGTGTGCTGGCGCCGCAGGTGGAGGATTAGCATATTGAGCCACGGTGCCAGCCCAGAATTTAAAAACTTAAAGTTCAGCAGCATTGAGCAGATGTTGTGGCACAGTGAATGAGGTGGCTTCTTGGGATGCCTGCATACCATGTAAGAGTGCCTGGTTCGATTCTTGGCTAGTGAACTTCTGACCCACCTTCCTGCTAATGCACCTGTGAGGCAGGTACTCATGCCCCCAACACCCATGTGGGATATCCAAGTGGAGTCCAGGACTCCTGGCTTCTGCTGGGCCCAGCCCTGCTTGCTATGCGCATTTAGGGAGTGAACCAATGGATGATCTCTCTCTCTCTGTCTCTGCTACTCTTCTTTTCAAATATATAAAAATGAATAGACATTTTAAAAGTTCTAACAACAGAAGGAGAATCTGCAGATGTGAAAACATATAGAGCTAGCATGACTGGAAATAAAAATAGGACAATCAGAAAAATGTTCTATGAAAAACATATTCAAA